CTGCAACCTCTACCTCCGGGTTCATGCGATTCTCCTGCCTCAGCCTCCTGAGCAGCTGGGATTACAGGTGCACGCCACCACGCCCAGCTAATTTTTTTGTATTTTTAGTAGAGACGGAGTTTCATCACCCGCCCTCCTCGGCCTCCCAAAGTGCTGGGATTACACGCATGAGCCACCGTGCCTGGCCCAAATATGCCCAACTCTTTTTTTTTTTTCTTTTTTTTGACAAAGTCTTGCTCTGTCGCCGAGGCTGGAGTGCAGTGGCACAATCTTGGCTCACTGCAAGCTCTGCCTCCCGGGCTCACACCATTCTCCTGCCTTAGCCTTCAGAGCAGCTGGGACTACAGGAGTCCGCCACCACGCCCGGCTAGTTTTTTGTATTTTTAGTAGAGACGAGGTTTCACCATGGTCTTGATCTCCTGACCTCGTGATCTGCCTGCCTCAGCCTCCCAAAGTGCTGGGACTACAGGTGTGAGCCACTGCGCCTGGCCAAATATGCCCAACTCTTAATTTTGCTTTGCTCTTTTATATCAAGAAGAAAGGTCTTGAACTTGAAAACTAATAGACAAAAAGTTAACAGGAAAATGAAGTTCAAGACAAGTAAGGAGACACCTAAATGGTTCCTTTTATATGAGCTCAAGTATTCGGGCCTAAATAAATTACATTTCAGGAATCTGACACAACTTAATGACGTGACTGCAAATCAGGTGGGAATCTTTGAGAAACTAGGGAGAATGATAGAGGACGGTGTCTTAGTCCCATTGTGTTGCTATAACGGAATACCTGAGGCTGGGTAATTTATAAAGAAAATAAATTGATTTGTCTTATGGTTATGCAGGCTGTACAAGAAGCATCGTGTCGTCATGGCCATTCATGAGGGATCCAACCCATTATCTAAACACCTCCCACCCAGCTCCACCTCCAACATGGGAGATCAAATTTCTACATAAGATTTGGAGGGGACAAATATCCAAATTATATCAAATGCGGACAGGCATCTCAATTTTTTAAAAAAGAAAAACAAGATAGATTCTGAAAACAACAGGCTAGTAAGCGTGATATTAACCCACAGTAGAAATCTAAAGTGGTTTATCAAATATTCTGTGAATATTTAGAAAAGAAAATGACCATGACCAAGCACCAACAACCCGCAGGGATTCAACAAAATAAGGCAGTCCAAGCTGATCTCAATTTCTCTTGAGATCATTATCAGACAGATGGATCAAAGAAATTCAGACATAGCATATCTTTTTTTGTTTTGTTTTGTTTTTTGAGATGGAGTCTTGCTCTGTCGTCCAGGCTGGAGTGCGGTGGCACGATCTCAGCTCACTTCACCCTCCACCTCCTGGGTTCAAGCAATGCTCCTGCCTCAGCCTTCTGAGTAGCTGGGATCACAGGCGCGTGCCACCATGGCCGGCTAATTTTTGTATTTTTAGTAGAGTCAGGGTTTCACCATGTTGGCCAGACTGGTGTCGAACTTCTGAGCTCAGGTGATCCTCCTGCCTCGGCCTCCCAAAGTGCTGGGATTACAGGCGTGAGCCCCCACACCCGGCCTAAACATAGCATATCCTGATTTCTCCCACTGAAAATGTCTTTCATCAAGTTCAGTGGATAAAGGTGAAAAAGGTGGGGCCACATTATTGCACAGTTCCACCCGTGCATAATTTGTATGTAACTAAACCTAGAAGCTATTGACTCAGTGCCACAAGATTCTAGATTTGGTCCTAATCTCATCAAGATATTTAGCAACAAGGATAAGACTTAAGAAGAAAGGGTTACCAATTGTGCAGGTGACACTAAGCTAGGAAGGGGAGCGAATATACTGGATGAGGAATCATGAATCGCAAGTATCTCAGCATAAAGCAATGATGTGATGAAATTAAAGTAAAATCATTTTAAATCCTACACTGTATACATCCTTAGATACAAATATAGGTAACAAGTCAAGTTATGCTAAAGTAATATACTCTTGAGACAGGCCAATCAGACTGACTGAAGAAAAAGAGTTCCTGTGGCCTTGACAAAGGTCACAGGAACAGACTCAAAATTTATATTTCTGGTGAATCCCACCAGAGACTTCAGGTTATAGCCTCAGAAATTCATTTAAAGACAGTTTGCCATTTGCCTAAAGGCTTGATGAATGCTTGTGATTAATCTTAGGAAGCTCATCTGCCAAAAGAAGAATGAAATAATCAGGGGGAAAGGAGTGAGAACCATAAAGGAAGGTGGAAAATTTAATACGCAAACAAGAACATCTGGGGCGTGGGGGTTACGTGACAGTTCTTGAAGCACCTCATTCTTTGAATGAGAAATCCCACAAGTCCACAAACTCGAGGTTACTTTAGAGGAGAGGAGTAGGACCCCTTTTCAGAGGTCACAGGGACTAAAACTCAAGACTCTGCTAAGACATTTCCTCTAATCCTTGCTGTCCCCAAACAGAAAGGGCTGCCGTGTGAGGCAGTGAGCCAGTGAGCCAGTGCATGGCGGGATGGCTGAGTCAGATGTTGTGTGTGGATTTGCAAACTTCAAGAAGTTTCTCTGCTATGCACTTTATTCCATACAATGTGCATGATGTAATAAGGAAGACAATATGATGTGGTGGTTAAAAAGTCCAGTGTCATTCTGCCCAGACTTGAATCCCAGCTCTGCCACTCAGTCACCATGTGACCAGAGTGACCTTGAACAAATTAGCTAACTGCCCCAGACAGTTTCTTCATCTGCAAAAAAAGGATGATATGAGCATCTACCCAACAGGTGTTCTGTGAGGACTGAGTTAATGTGCAGAAAGCACAAGGACAGTATCTAGCACATAGGAAATACACAAGTTAGCAATTTATCATGATAACTCTGCACTCTTTTCAGCCACTCTGAAGGTTCCTGGTCATCCATTCGAGGCCTAGTGTGACGTTTATCTGAACAGACAGGAGAATGGCACTAGAAAATGAGGGAGATTTGGTGCCTAAAAATTACTACAAACAGGCTGGGCGCGGTGGCTCACGCCTGTAATCCCAGCACTTTGGGAGGCCGAGGCAGGTGAATCACGAGGTCAGGAGTTTGAGACCTGCCTGGCCAACATGGTCAAACTCCGTCTCCACTAAAAATACAAAAAATTAGCCGGGCATGGTGGCGGGCGCCTATAATCCCAGCTACTCAGGAGGCTGAGGCAGGAGAATTGCTTCAACCTGGGAGACGGAGATTACAGTGAGCCAAGACCGCACCACTGCACTCCAGCCCAGGCAACAGTGCGAGACGCCATCTCAAAAAAAAAGAAAAAGAATTACTACAAACGTATACAGAACAGCACCATACGGAGCAAAAGAGAGCAGCTGGAATGTTCTCATTCAGAGACCCATAGGATTTCAAAAGCCAGCTACCATCAGCAGTTATTTCTGCCCTCAAATCACCCTAAAATGCAAATTCCATCACTGTGGCTGGCAAAGGTCTGGGATATGGCTCCTGGAGTCTAGGGAATAGTCTCCACCAAGGATGGTGCTGGCTTCTTGGGTTCCTCTCCCAGATCTACAATCCGGATGGCGTTTTCCTTCTTGGAAAGCCAGAAGGCAGCATAGACTGGCTCTGAAAACTTGCAGGCAAACTTGTGAACCAGAGTCATGGCATCATGCTCTACGCCATAGAAGGAAAGGATCCCTCCTGGGAAGTCGACATAGACCCCAAGCCTCCGGAAAGGTCCGGCTTTAAGCGGGGTCTCCATGTCACTGTGCCAGGCTGTGAACTCCTTCCCATTCCATTGGAGGCTCCAGGAGAAGTTGTTTCCGGAAATGCAACTGTTGCGCTCCTCCCCTTTCCGGTCGATGCCTTTGCAGGTCAGACCAACGTAGGTGCCTGCCCCGAAGATCTCCACCTCAAAATAGTACCTATGCAGGTACAGACTCTGCTGGGACAGCACTTGCCGCCAGTGCAGGAACCTGCTGGGGAGGTCCGGGTAGGAGTGCTCCCAGGGCGTGGTGTTGGTGACCTTGCGGTTGTCCTCCTGCAGCCGGAGATACCTGTGTGCTGTGTCCGGGTCGAACGTGATGTCATGAGCATCTGAGGAGACACAGAAGGCAGGAGAGTGGTTCAGGAACTGACAGCTGATTCAGACGAACAGTGTAAACCCAGCTGGGCTCCAAAGCACATATGAGAAAACATCCATTTCTCTGTTCTCTATTTACCCAGGCTGCTGTTTCCCTAGGCAAAGAGGTGAGTGAAGACCAGAAAACAGAGAGCACAAATCATCTACTCCCTTCCCTTATGAAGCTCAAATTGCTTGACAATGATGATATTATTTGATGAACTGAATGAAGAAATATATTAATTTACTCATTCATTCATTCATTCAACAAACATGTATTGAACGCCTGGCATTATCCTGCCCAGTGTTGCCAAGTGTTTGGGGAAGCAGGTACTCCTATACCCACATTTGATCCATTCATTCATTTTTCAAAATATTTGAAAAACATCTTAAAAATGAATGAATGGATCAAATGGAGCATGAAGAACTCTCAAACATGCCCTCCTGTTCTCCTCCCACTCCCAAAGAATAACAGGGTCTCATGCACCCCATTGCTTAAGTCAAGCTCTATGTCATTTTTGACATTTGTTTTGCCCTCACCCTCATCTCCCATCCTCACCACACACACAGGCAGCAGCAACTCCTATGGATTCTACCACTTCTCTCCAGCCCCGTGCTTTACCCCCAACCTAAGCCAACACTCATCTCACTTGGACTCGTGCAATGGGTTCCTGACTGGTCATTCGCTGATCTCTCTTGCCCACTTCAAGAGCTTCTCCACAATAGAGCTGTGCTGCTTATTTCGAGCTGTAGGCTGAGGCCAGTCATGTTGTTCCAGCTTAAAACCCTTTCGTGGTGCCCCTTGCTCTTACAATAAAGCAGGAACCCCTCGCCCTGGCCTACCAGGCCCCGCATCCCTGGTCCTTTCCTGTGTCTCTGACTCTCTCCCTTGATTGCTACATTCCCACCATGCTGATCTCAGACCTACTCAGCACTCAATCCTCTTTGAGCCTTTGGTACAACCTGTTCCCTCCAAGATGTGATCACGCCCTACCTTGAGTCTGGTGATTCCTACTGATCCATTCAGGCTACAACCGAGAGTTCATGTCCTCGAAGAGGCCCTTTGTGACTCTAAATCACTCTCTCTCAGAGCACCATGGCTTTTTAAACTTGGCACCCCTCCCCATTTGTAATAATATATTCATGTGAGTATTTGTTTCCCGCTTGTCCTCCCTCTAATCTATGAGCTTCGCATTTTGCATGGGATTCTTCTCTAGCTCAGAGAAGATGCTCAGTATACGCTTGCCAAATGAATTAGCATATTAAAGGCTATTTTTAAAATTCCATAACTTAAAAAGTTCTCACTGGGTGCAGAGGCTTATGCCAACACTTCGGGAAGCTGAGATGGGAGAATCACTTGAGGCCAACAGTTTGAGACCAGCCTGGGCAACACAGCAAGGCTCCATGTCTACAATTGTTAAAAAAATTTTTCTTTAAATCAGCCAGATGTGGTGGCATGTGCTTATGGCTACTCAGGAGACTGAGGGAGGAGGATTGCTTGAATGTGGGAGGTCAAGACTGCAGTGAGCCATGATCAAGCCACTGCACCTCAGCCTGAGCAATAGAGTGGGACCCTTTCTCAAAAAATACACATACATACATACATATATATGTCTACATATATATATGTAAACGTGCAAAATATGTCTTGACTGTTTATGTCAATTAACAGAAGGCTATTACTAGTTAAGTTCTTGAGGAATCAAAAGCTACAGGTGAAATGTTCAACAATATGAGGGATTGGGATCCCAACTCCCACCTTATTCGAGGGTCAACTGTGCAGTGTTTTAAAAATGCTAATGGACCAAGTCAATACCACTTAATGACAGGTCAATGAGTTATGCAATTCTGGCCAAGTCATACATGGAAATGAACCACCAGGTAACTAGCCAGGACTCTTCAAAGTGCTATGGTCATGAAACACAAGGATTGAAAGACTGATCCAGATTGAAGGGGACTAAGAAGACATGGAAACATCTGTGACCTTGGATTGGACTTTGGGCCAGAAAAAAGGGCATTGATGAAAGAGTTGGTGAGAGCTGAATAAATTCTGTAGATTAGTTGATAGCATTGTAGCAATGTTAATTCCCTGGTTTTGATCAATGTATTGTAGTTATGTAACATGTTACCATTAGGAGAAACTGAGTGAAAGATATATGGGAATTCTTTGTCCTATTTCTGTAATATTTTTGTAAGTTTCATATTATTTCAAAATGAAAAGTTAAAAAATTGTTTAAATTAAATTTTAAGAAGTATATCATTTAGGGATAGACATGAAGTTGTAAGAACCTGAAACCTAGATGAGAGATGACGGTTCTTACTTAGCAAAGCACTGCACTGATATCAACAATGGAGAAGGGGGTGCCGTTCACAACTTACATTGCAGGAACTGTTCCCTGGTGCTGGGCTCAGGTTTGGAAGTCCAATATTTACGCTGAACAACGGCAGACACTTGAGTTCTGATGTCATACTCCTCTAGAAAATCAGAGAGTTGTGAATGCACACCTGTCCAGGTGGTCTGCAAATCAGGACTTCCCAGCCACCCTTCCCTGGACTTCCTGGGGAAAGAAGGGACTGAAGCCTAGAAATGTTTCACAGAAATATGCTCAATAGACTACATTTCTTTCATAGGTAAGGCATAAACCACTGAAAAAGTGATCCAGACTGTCTTGGATTTAACTTAAAAGTATAGGCATCAGCAACCTGGGAAGCTAGTCATAGAAATGCCAGCTGATGGCATAATATAAGCATGACTAATTCTCCTTCTCTGGGTCTCAACTGTAGAAGAAAATCATCAAGATGAGAGTCCATTAGTAACACACCCTGTCTGAAGGATGGCTTTGAAAATGAGACATTTGGCTGGGTGTGGTGGCTCACACCTGTAATCCCAGCACTTTGGGAGGCCGAGGCGGGCGGATCATTTGAGGTCAGGAGTTCGAGACCAGCCTGACCAACATGTTGGAACCCCGTCTCTACTAAAAATACAAAAACTAGCCAGGTGCCTGTAATCCCAGCTACTAGGGAGGCTGAGGCAGAAGAATCTGTTGAACCCAGCAGGTGGAGGTTGCGGTGAGCCAAGATCCCGCCATTGTACTCCAGCCTGGGTGATAGAGCAACTCTCTCTCTCTCTCTCACACACACACACACACACACACACACACACACAAAAGAAAAAAAAAGAAAAGAAAAGAAAAGAAAAGAAAATGAGACACTCCCCTGATTTCATCCTCCCTTCCCTGACTCTCTCTCACCTTCCCATCATCTACTGCTAGAGACACACCCACTATAGTCCATGGCCCAGAATGCATCTCACCTTCCTTGGCAAACTCCTGGAGCTTTTCCTTATAGTTCTCCAGCAACTGGATTAAGTGTACAGTGGAGTCCGTGATAACTTTGCGGATGCCGGAGAGTTTATCCTTCAGCCCTATGTAAACACTAGGGAAAGTGATGTCTTCAGTGTTCTTAAACTTGCAGTACTCCTGCAGAAAAGGAAGCAGCAGAACTTGCTGTGGTTTCTGTATTTCTAAACTTAGGCTTCTCTCCTCATTAAGTCACTTTTTGCATCTGTCAAATGGGCTGACAGTAACGTGTCCTTAACAAAGAAAGTACATGTAAAGTGTCAAGCTCGGGGTCTAACAAAATAGAAAGCACTTTTCTAGCTGCTAGACCCTCCGAATAAGTGGGATTTTAAAAAACTAAGTGAGAAAGTGGGCTTTTAAAAATCAAGATGTACTAGATGGCCATGAACAGCTCCAATACATAGTCCAGACTGGGGACCAAAAAATAAAGAACATTCTTGCTTTGTTAATTCCGTCAATACTTGTTTTTTGACAATTCAAACACAAGCCATGGTAGAAAATGGAGGAGCTCTCAGGCAGGAGTGCTGCCTCTTCCTTGTCAATTTCATCCAATGCATAAATTCCTGTAATTCTTGTACCTTGCTTTAGTATTTGGAAAGTGGCTTCACACAGATAATCACATAGTTTCATGTAAGTTTCAAAACAACGTGTGATCAGGAAAGATGCTTTCAGATATAACATAGTATCAAACTTCAGCTACAACTGAAGCATTAAAGTGCAGACCAGGTATAGCAGAAAACATAGTAATGAAAACAGTTGTATGAAAATGATTAGATAGAGCCATGGAAATCAAAACCAGAGAATTGACAGAGAAAAGGGTAATTCAACATTTTAATGCTATATACTGTACATGACAAAAGTAGCATTTTAAATCAGTGGGAGAAGGATAAGTTATTCAATAAATGTTGTTTTGAACGCCTAACCAACA